GCCCCAGGCTCAGGGGCCAGTCCTGCGACACCCTCCCATTACACACACACACCTGACAGCAGCACCTCTGAGCCTCTCCCACCTTCACCCTCACCTCGTGGCCCTGCTTCTCTCTTAACGCCCACCCCCTCACTAGACTCCCTGCTGTAGTAGGATTTGCAAGGGAAAGGATTCAATACAAGACATAATTTATAGGGTTAGTTTATATTCACTCAAAGAGTTAAATGCAGAAGAGTTAAAAAAAAAAAAGTGGGGGCTGGGGATACGGTTCAGCAGCATAAGTGCCTGCCTGGCAAGCACAAGATCCTGAGTTTGATTCCTGGTGCAAAAAAAAAAAAAAAACTGCAAAAGAGTTTTGCAGATCTGTCAGCGCATTGGAGACTAAAGAATCCAGCAGAGGGCCTGGATCCCAAAACAATGTCCTGCACGAGACCTGGGCTCCTCTGACAATGAGAACAGCTGAGTTCACATCAGGAAAACCAGCAGGACAAGCTCCTCCGGGAGAATCAACAGCGCACCGTCTCCCCTCCAGGTCTCCTTTGCTGGCAACCGTCCTCAGGAGGGCCCCCCACACCCAGCACCCGCTGACTCAGTTCAGCTGGGGTTACACGCTGACCCTCGCTAATCCACCGCAGTCTCCAGTATCCGGCGCTGTCCTTGTTCATGGCGTGCAGGGCCTGACTCACAGCACAGACGTGGGGCTATTCCATTAACTCCCCCTTCACAGAGAGGTGGAGCCCTCCAGAATCAGTTACATGTGGACAGAGAGGAAAAAGAGCACTAAAAAGGACAGTTGTTTTCTTAGCTTAGAGGTAGGGGTAGGGTAGCTGTATTTTAGCAGAGCCGGGAAACAATAAGATGGGAGACAAAAGCACATCCAGTCAGATTCCGAATTCTGAGAATCCCCGAGGAGAGAGGCTGAGAGGCTGACGGCCACCTAACACAGGGATGGCTTAAGGTCTAGGAGCAAAATGAGATGCTGAGCTCTGAGGACGATTCACTTTTCTAGGGACTTCTGGATATCTGTGAAGTAGGCCATTAAAATACTTTGCCTCTGGGCTGGGAATTTAGCTCAGCGGCATAAGCACCTGCCTTGCAAGCAGGTGGTCATGAGTTTGATACCTGGTACCGATAAAAATGAAAAAGACAAAAAAAAAAAAAAAAACTGTCTCTTTTTAAGCCTCATTTCCCACAGATACTACAATCCCAGTTGATCAGGACACAAGTTTTTGGTCTTTCCCTCAGATCAAAATCATAACCTTTTGATATTTGGAACATTCCATCAGGAGAAAATACAATTTGAAATCATCCCTGGACTATCAGTTTCATATTTAAGCAAAATCTAAAGACCAAAGACTATAATGCTTAACATTATAGTCTGACTGAGCAGTGGTGTAGTCTCCTCTTGGTCTTTGGATGGAGAAGGTGCCACAGAAAATCAAATTAGTTTCAGAAATTAAAACCATCAGTTTGACCAAGGTCAGTAAGGTAGGGCTGGGTGTGATGGCATACACTTTTAGTTCCAGTACTTGAGAGACGAGGCAGAAGCACTGCTCAAATTCAAGGCCAGTCTGGGCTACCCAGTGAGCTCAAGGCCAGACTGAACTGCATAGTGAGACCTTGGGCCAGAGATACAGCTCCGTGGCATAACCACCTGCCTGGCAAGTGCAAGGTCCTGAGTTCAATTCCCAATACAAAAAAAGACACACAGCGATTCTCTCATAGTGAGACCTTGTCTCAAAGAAAGGTAGTGGTGATAACATAGAGGCTGATTAGACCAGCCTTCCGCTCATATCCCTTCGGAAACAACCAAGCCTTTCTGGGTAGACAGCTCAGGCAGGGAGCTCTGCAGCAGAGAATGTGCGAAGGCAGCACAAAATGCTCCCACCACTCAGCCGCCTTTCCAGATCCTTCCTGATCGGCCCTGCTCCTTGCCAACTAAGCCAAAGAACTGGCGACAGATTTAAAATTTAAATAAGACTTTGCCACTTTATAAGCACTGCAGGAGGTGGGGAGAGCTCACCAGTCAACAGTTGTGCAATCACAATCCGGCTCCAAACACTGAAATTATAGCCTCTTCCACTCGAGTACCCTCTCCACGGACTGAAGAGCTCGCAGCAGCACAAGGGCCTGGGGACCCTCAGGAAATGGAAGCCATCTCAGCATGCCGAGCCAGAGAGAATATTCACATTGCAGTCCTCCTCATCAAGTCTGAGAGAGGAGACTTAAAAGCAGCCCTAGTTTTTACACGCTGACACATTAGGGCCCTATCAAAGTTTGTAGACTAAGTACAGAGCTGTCTTTTTAAGGAGAGGCTTCTGTCTCTACCACCTGAAGTCATACGGGTTTGTTTTGGGCAGAAAACCGTGGAAACGGAAAAGAAGGCTGTGAGACAGATTAGGATGTGGCAAAGCGGACTGGCGAAGTAGCGACATAGCATGACCAGCTAAGTACAGCATCCCAGGCGCATGGCAGAGCAGGTCCCAAAGCCCTACCGTGGACTTCTCGCGAGAACTCGCAGGTTTTCAACGGGACCACCTGTCAGGACCCGGATGTACAAATGCTTTTTTTGGGAGTTCCTTGAGATTTAGATGGCATAAGAGGACACGTTGAAAATGTGAAGATTAACCGGGCTTGGTGGTGCGTGCCTCTAATCCCAGCACTTGGGAGGCTGAGGCAGGAGGATCATTGCGAATTCGAGACCAGCCTGGGCTACAAAGTGACCTCAAGGCCAGCCTGAGCTGCATAGAGAGACCCTGTCTCAAAAAGACAAATAAAATAAAGACATCTGAAGAGGATTTTTTTAATGCCCTCATTTCCCTACCTACAGCCAGCCTTCAGGGTACCCACCATATTGCCTTTCCTCCTAAAAGCAGTGTGTCCATGAGGCTAAGGCCAATGCCTGCCTTACACCTGGCTCCCACATCCTCTGTCTACTCTAATGATTTCCTGTCTTACTTGCATTATCAACAATTTTTACACAGTTTAATAATTCTATCAAAAAATACTGGAATAGATCCCATTTTAAAAAGCAGTCCATGACCAGGTGTGGTTAACGTCTGTAATCTCAGAACTCAGGAGGCTGCACAGGAGGATTGCTGCAAATTTGAGACCAGCCTGGATTACACAGCAAGACTGTCTCAAAGAACTAAAAAAAGGAAAAAGAAAAAAAAAAGCAGCAAAAACAAACTCTCCATGGGAACCTGCGTTCCTCTTCCCTAACAATCCAAGTCTTCCTCCCTTTACCCTTCTGAATCTGTTCTTGTTGGACTTCTCTCTACCATCCACCAAAAGCAACTATATCAGGCTCACCATGTCTTCCACATTGCCAAGTCCACAGGTCACTTCTCAGTCCTCATAAACTTGGCCTCTCCACAGGATGTGACAGTCTGACTACTCTAGCCCTCCTGAATTGCTTTACTTGGCTTCTGAAATAACTCATTTGCACACCTCATGAGCTGCTGCTTCATTCTCCTTCCCTGAAGCTTCCTCCTCTTGCAGACTTCAAATTACTGAGGTGTAAGCAGATTCTAGTCTTTTCTATCTTCGCTCATTTCTTGGCACATCGAGTCCCATACCTTTAAATATCATTTATATTTAACAAGCATTTCAAAAAGAAATAGTTTTGTTGGTTTTTGTTTTGTTTTTTCATTTTGGAGCACAAACACAGGGTCTGCTAGATTCGAGGCAAGCACTTTACCGCTGAGTCCCAGTCCTAGGTGGTTGGTTGCTTGCTTTGTTTGTGGTGCGGGGCTCAAACCGCGGCCTCGTTCCTGCTAAACATGCTTTCTTCCACTAAGCTATATTCCCAGCCCTCCAACTTCTACCCTAAACTCTACATATGCACAACTTCCTAACCTACACCTCCACTCAGTTCTAAAAGGCATCACAAACTTAACATACTCAAAACCAAACACTGAATATTCCTCCTTAACAAACTGCTCTTTTTTTCTAATCTTTCATGTTTCTCCATTTTTAGTACATGGAAATTCTGTGCTTTCAGTTACTCAGGCCAAAAACATTAGACTCATCCTTGAGTCTTCTTTCTCTCGCCTCCCACATTCACTGCATCACAAAATTGGTTTGGGTCTTCAAAATCATCCAGAATTTGACTATTTCTCACCATCTCTACCATCATCCCTATCCCACTTACCATTAACTCTCATCTGGATTATAATAGCTTCCTGTCATCTGAATTATTGCACTAGCCTCTTGCCAAATTCTACACAAATGGTTAAGCAAAAAAAGATCTGAGAAATGACCAATGGACTTGGCGATGTGGCAGTCACTGGTCACTTTGACAAGATAGCTTTCATTAGATGGCAGCCTGGAAAGAACTGAATCCTGACAGAACTGCATTCACTCTGTAGTGGACTCCTTTGTGTTGTGTATAATATAATCTCCTTTTAGAGTGTATAATAACAAAAATTACCATTTCTGAGCATTTGCATTTGCTATTCCGTCTGGACCACCCTTTCTCCAGACAGTCACATTTGCTCATCGTGCCTGGATTCAGCTATCTGTTAATATGAGCTTTCAAAATTCCTTTATCAAATTATTTAAAATAGCCCTTCACATCTTCTATCTTGTATTTTTTCATTATTTCCCTTCATAGTATTTATCATCATCTGAATATATCTGTTTAGTAGATGACTCCTCAGCTTCTCCGCAGTCTAGAATATAAGCTCCACGAAAGCAGGAACTTTTTTGTTGACCACTGCAACCCCACCATATAACCATGCCAGGCACGAAGCGGATACTCATTAAATATGTTCAGTTAATAAATGACTTTTATGTCAAACGCAAAGAATTAATTACTAATAGCGTGCAAGCACTCTCAACCTGAAGACCTCTGGAACTCAAAGCTTGGATTCCAGGGCTCTGTAGCATGCACCGGTAATACTATCGTTCTTTTAGATGACATATGGTAATGCTTCCGCCCACGCCCAACCCTCAGTCAAAACTCTGGAAAGGAGGGGCAGAGGGTTACGTCATCATTCTGCGCCGGCCTGCCCCGCGACGCGCCAGCAGCTGGCGCAGCCCTTCGCTAGCCCGGCCTCCCCCTCCCTGGTTCTGCGCTCTGGTTCCGCCATGGAATCCAACAAGGATGAAGCCGAGCGCTGTATCAGCATCGCCCTCAAGGCCATCCAAAGTAACCAGCCCGATCGTGCGCTCCGCTTCCTGGACAAGGCGCAGCGGCTGTACCCGACGCCGCGAGTTAGCGGTAAGTATGAGACGCCGGAGAGACAGAGGAGAACATTAGAACTGATGAGGGGAATACGAGACGGACCGACGGGAGCAGTTGGCGGAGGGGGAGGGGTGGCGAGGCGCGGTTACGCCTGCGCATTGAGGCGCGCGGTGACTACTGGGAGGTGTAGTCTTTCAGTCTCGCGCGTCTGCGGGACGCTGGATGCCTGAAGACCGGGATAGCTGAGACTTAACCTTTGGGACGTTTGAGGAAACTTCTGGGATGTCAGGTTTCCTAGAAGGAGATGCGCTGGCAGGGCAGGCTAAAGGAACACACCTGGAAGGGAAATGGAACTACTTTTCCCAAGAGGCCGTTCGGCGGCCCACGGCCAGTTGCCGGCCTGGGAAATATTATAGTTCAGGAAAATAAACATAACTCTGCTGAGCGAGGAAATGGGTTCTAAAGAGGGAAGGGCCTGACTGTTGGCGCCCTGGAAAAGAGGCTTCATAGCTTCAGCCCCTCGCAGGACTCCTGACGAGAGCCAGAGACCACCGTGGCCGATCCGCAGGTCCCTCCGCCACCCCTGGGCTCCTCACCCCCTCCGAAAGCTGTTTCACCTGCCAGTGAGATCCGGGTCTGATGATTTGTGGGGGGCGCCAGCCTCGGCCCGCCGACCCGCCTTCACCCCCACCAGGCCATCAGTAGACTCCCGAGGAGCCGGAATCGAAGGCTCCTGAAGCAGGGACGGAACCTTGAGTTTGTCTCCACTATTCATCTCCTCACTTTACCCACGAGCCCTCTGCTTTTTATTTCTTGAACCTAAATTTTTCTTAATCCAAGTTGGAATAGAAAAAGACGGTGTTTGTGCCTGTGCTTACCATTTGCTATACTATGTGGCGTGTAACAGGCACTTGGAAGACCCGGCGCTCACCCTAACCGCTACTATGTGACCCTTCCGAGCTTGGGTTTCCTCATCTGGAAGATGAGAGTGTCGCCACAGGTAGTGTGAATGACAGTAATACCGGCAAGGCTTTTCAGGGTAGAAAGCTCTTGCGCATGCATTTTGTTACTTGAACCTGCCCTGTTAGGGAGACAGCCAAAGATCATTATCTTTGTTAAGTAGATGAAGAAACGTTTCTGAGGTAAGGGACTTGCCCAAGATCACACTGTTAAATCTTGGAAAACCCTGTGACTATTGAAGGAAGGAAGGAAAGAAGTGAAAAAGCAGCAGTCGGCCTCCTCATCTTCCCTGCCCAGTTATGAAGTGGCGAAAGAGGGATACTGGCAGGAGAGGTGACCTGGAACGCCTCGACTTTCCTCCCTCCTGACTGGAGATTGATCTTTGGCCTGTTGGCTGCCTCCTGCAGAGGGTTTCCGTTTGTATTTGCCCTGGAGTTCTGAGGTAGCCTGCTGGAGGACTTCTGTGAAGTAAATCGCTTTGTCTAAGTGGACAGCATGGGGGTGGCCTCCAGCTGTCAGAATTCCGTGTGAATGGGGGCTTTGGTAGTAGGCAGCCAGCAAAGGACAGTAATGATAGGGCCTGTGGCCCTTGCCAGGTCAGGAGCTTGGAATGGTATCCTTGCCAGGGTTTAGGCACTGGAATTTGCTCGGACCAAGAGGGACCTGCTGCGTATTTATCATATTTGTGCTCTTTTGGGAAGAGTATGTGTTTGATGCATCTGTGTAAACTTCAGCTTGGCCCACCTGGAGCCCAGCACTGAGCTGCCAAGGAACCTGGGGTTAGTGTGGGCCTGAGCAGGGAATCTTGGTTAAAGAAAAACATGTGGTCGTCTACTTTGGATGCCTTGGGTTTGAGCTCATTCCGGACACCCATTCAATGCAACTGATTTTTGTTGAGAACCTTTTTCATTTTTATATTGTTTGCAAAGTCCCGTGCTTGGGGCTAACTGGTATAGAGGGAGTGGAAAAGTGTGTGATCCTTTGCCTCAGAGAGCTTACCGCCTAGCAAAGGAGACAGACTTCCAGGACGCAGTATGGCACCGTAGAGTAATAACTGTGAATTAACAAACATTAAGCGCAGCATTGGATTCTAGGGACCTGAGAGTGGTCACGAAAAATCCAGTCCCTGCCATTTGTGGGTTTGGTGGGCTGGGAGTGGTGGAGGCAAGGAGGGAGTGGTGAGCAATTACCTGAACCCTGCACACTGTTATCTTACCAGGCGTAGTGGCTCACACCTGTAATCCCAGCACTAAGACTAAGGTGGGAAGATCGTCACAAGTTCAAGGCCAGCCTGAGCTATATAATGAGACCTTGTCTCCAAAAAAAGCCACTATTATCTCACTGAGGGAACGACTTTAGGGAGTAGGACAGGAGGCAGCGTTTGGATTGCACTTGAGGAAGTCAGGAGACTCAGGAAAGGTGTGCTGGGATAAGACACTAAACCAAAAGTCAGAGGTCTGGGGGACGGGATTAAATGTAGCAAGATTACAAAGCAGTGCCAGGGAGAATTTGTATGGGGGATTCAAGTTGGAAAGTAAAATGGGGTCAGATTGTGGAACTCCTTTTCCACCAGGCCAAGAGATTTTCGCTTTAGTATTTAGTGACTTTCGCTTTATACTGTATTTAGTGAGAAAAGCTGTTGAAGTTTGTGGTGAGGGGAATAAGGTAAGGAACTGTTCTCTTTGAGGGGAACTGAGAGGCAGAAGCAGTTGGGAGACGATGGCCATAAGCAGGTTAGAAATTCTGAGGGCCTGGGAGAAGGGAGTGGGGATAAGAGTAAGGTCATGGCTGGGGGTTTAGCTCAGCGGCATAAGCGCCTGCCTTGCAAGCAGGCGGTTGTGAGTTTGATCCCTGGTACCGATAAAAAGGAAAAAGACAAAAAAAAAAAAAAAAAAGAGAGAGAGAGTAAGGTCATGGGAGAGAGGTGCCTTTGTGAGAGGGGGGGTGCCGAGGAGAATTAAGCCGGGATGCTGGAAAATGAGTTGAAGCGGGGTGAACAGGAAGACGCCCGAGGTGGAAAAGTAGAGTGGGAGGTGGCGTGGCCCGGCTGCGCTGCCCTTGGGGCGCTCAGGAGGAGCCTCTGAGTTCTGGGTGAAGGTGCTCTCAACTTGCTGGCACTCACTGGAGTATGCGTGGCTGAGGTTACTGTGGAAAGGGGTGGACCGGAGAGAGAGAGTTGCTTCGGGCACAGTGGGGCCGCACCTGCCCTTAACCAGTGGACAGAGGCAGAGGAAGCCCCAGCATGAACGGGAGCAATGGCAGGAAGAAGCAGTCCCAGGAGAGGGCCGCAGCCGTAGCCATGGGAAGCATCGCCAAGGAAGTGTGAGCAGTGTTGTCGGTGCTGCAGGGCCACATGGGAAAAGGACAAGTCGGGGCATACAAGGGGATGCTGGAGCCCATCGAGGAGGCCTTGGGGAAGCAGAAGGATCAATGGAGGGAGGGCTCAGCGCCCTGCAGGGCCGTGGTCCTGAAAGTGTTGTCCACAATGAAAAGGAAGCGAGGGGATCTTCAACTCCCTGCAGCCGGAGTGGCGCGAGGCCCATTGGCAGGACGGGTGCATTGCGAGGCGGTAGTGGGGCCATAAATTGGGAAGTCACAGAGCAAAGGTGGGAGAACCACTTAATATTTCTCTTTCTCCCTCTCCCCTACTCCACCCTGCCACCCATACTGAGGAGGGAACTTAGCCTTGGCACTCAGCTATTGTCCCCAGCCTGTTTTGTTATTTCTGAGATAGGATCTCACTAAGTTCTAGCTAAACTCAAACTTTTGATCCTCCTGCCTCAGCCTTCCAGAGTATTGGGATGATGTGTGCCACCGTGCCTAGCCTGTTAGTACTTTTCTGACAGTTTCTGTCAAAGACTTGGCTACCTGGCAGTTTTTGCCTTTGCCTAAGACTTAGCAAAAATAGTGGGAAAATATCAGCTCTTCCTGGAGCTCATAAAAACATCTGTGAGCCTCAGTATACAAAAAGAAGGTTGGCTTGGATGATCTGTAAGGGTCCTTGCGGCTCAGGCTGACTGCGGGTCTATCAAATGACCTAGACCAATCCTGCCCTCTCTGGAAGGGCCAGTCCCCAAAGAGGGCAGGATTAGTTACCAAAGAATTTTGGCATTCAGGGTCTAGGTGTGAGAGATACTCTAGGACTACCTAGGCCCAGGGTGGGCTTGTCCATTTAAATTTAGTCAACCTGCGTGAGCCTCACTGCGTACTCAACCCTTCAGTCACTTTATTTCATTGACTTTAGACAGGGTCTTGCTATGGATATTCCAGGCTGGCCTTGAATTTACAGGATTACAAGTGTGCACCTCTCGAGTGCTGCGATTACAAGTGTGTACCACCGCACCTGGCTACTATCTCATTGACTTATTTGCCCCTCAGAGTGGCGCTGTGAGGCCCGGGGTCAGACCTTCCTGAGGAATTAGATAAACTTGGCAAATACACTCAGTGGAGTAACACACTCTCTCCAGTCCCAGGCTCTTTCCCCGTTTTGACCTCTTCTTTGCTTTCCTCATTTCGAGCACTGCAGGTACACAGATCCTAAAGTCAGCTGCTTGCCTAATAATAAAAACGACAGTAACGGGTCACTCTCTTGTTTGCTGGGCACCCTGCTAAGTTCTGTCCCTGCATAGCACAGTATTCTCTCAGCCCTTGGGAGGGAGAGACAGTTTTTCCTGGAGAAGCTACATTAACCTGGCCAAAATGACCCTGTTAGCCAGGGGTAGAGCTAAGTGTGAGCCCCCTGGCAGTCTGCCTGTCCAGCTGCTGGGAGGAAGGGTGCCCCAGGGGCTCTGGCCATACAAGTCCTCTCACCCCTACCTCAGCTGCCACCTCTCCCACCACAGCGCCTCTCTTCCTCTGATTTCCTGTCTTTCTGTCAACTCTACTGGTCAGGGACAGAGCCAGGATTGACGTTAAGCTGTTCTCTCTGTTGGTGACGTTGTCTGTTGGTAGTTGTGTCATGAGGGGTGTCTAGGGAGTCACGTCAGTCACATCCGACAGGCGTGGCAAGGCCACAAGGCATCCAGGCCACAAGAGTGACCTATCTCCAGCAACCAAAACTCTGATCTCCAACTCAACCAGGAATCTTTTATGTGACCCAGAGCTGAGCCCTTCCCCTTTGGCTTCTCTTTTTGTAGTGTAAGAAAATTAAGAATAGCTTCAGGGCTCCAGATCTTCTAGAACCTTCCCTGAGACGGACTGGCGAGAGCCCATCCCATCGCTTGACCAATGTCCCTCCGTATCTGTGGCAGGTGGGCGACTGGTTATGTTGCTCTGAGGAAATCTCAGGGTCTGCCTGAACCCCTGAAACTTCCAGAGAATCCAAAATAAGCAAACTTTGCCTGTCCCATCCGGACTTCCATTTCATCATCCATTGCTTTCTTCCTTTGCTGTCCCCTTGCGCCTGGCATGAGGACCGCCTGCAGTGTCATCATGCAGAACCTGGGAAGCTTCCTCAGCCTTGGCCCTGCCCTGCTAGCCAGCCCCCCATCCCCACCCATAGTTCCCGCCCCTCCTGGCCAGCGCACACTCATGGCCAGGTCACCTAGAGCTTTCATTGATCCAGACAGCCCATAGGGCGTGGGTAGGTTCACCACCACTGGTCTAGGCCATGACCTTAATAGCTACTCGTTTGGTGTGTGTCTCTGTGCCACATGTCACATACATTATCTTTGGTCAGCCTCATCACCATAGTGAGGAAACAGGGCCAGACAGCTCTTACCGAGCAGGCAGGGTTGTAGACCGCTGGTAAGTCTTCCCTCACCGCGCCTCCGGAACTGGGGACTGAATCCAGGGCCTTCACTCTGAGCTACATCCTCACCCCCTTTTTTATTTTTTATTGTGAGGCAAGGTCTTGTTGAGTTGCCCAAACTAGGTTTAAACTTGGGTTCTCCTCTTTCAGCCCTCTGAGTGGTGGGATTATAGGCATGTGCCATGCTTAGCTAAATCTGGGCCTTTCTGAATTAACATTTCTTCTGTAATCAGAATGACTGTTTTAGCCTGGGCTCTCAGACACTTGCAATCTGGGATAACAGCAGTGTTCAGAGCAAGGATGCTGGAGCTGAACATCTGGGGTTCAAATGTGCTTCTGTCACTTATCCAGCCATGTGGGGTGGTGGTAGGGGTGGGACCTGTCTTCTAGGCTTTTGTGAGGACTAAACGAGTGAGCACAGAGACACTGCCTGGCTGCCTGTGAGTGCCGTGCGGAGGCAGCCATCAACCTAAAACACTAAAACGACCTGCTGCAGCCCAGGTACATGGGGGAGGGTTCTGGTGACCAGTGCAGTGTCCTGAACATAACAGCACTTGGAAGGAAGCTGGCCGCGGTCCAGCATGTGGCCAACCTGGTTCTCAGGGGTTCCCAGGAACCTGTCAGAGGTCCTAGAAGTCACTGCCCTGGGCTCTATGGCCCAGCTCAAGTTTTCTGAGCTGATTTTGTGCCTGGAATAAATGGGTACCCCTTACACTCATGATATGAGTCCTTCCTCATCAAGTCAGCAGGAATCAAGGACTCAGATTTGAATAACCGTGATCCTCAGGGTGACAGTGTGTGCCCCATGTAGACCTCAAACGTTGAAGTAGAATGGTTGACATGACCAGCATTTGGAAAATGTGCCAGTGATTAGCAAGTAGTGAACGCAGCAGGTATTTTCCGAGTCTCACAGCATCCCTGGCCCTCTGGGACAACCTTGTTTCTCTCATCTTCTTCACTGTCAAGTGAAGGCCTCCAGAAATTGCCCCTCCTGACTGCTGAGTCACACAGACCCACTAAACATGTCCCCAGTGCAGATGACCCTACTATCCCCACCCTCAACAAAGCTGCTGTCAGACATACTGCTTCGGGACTTGAAAAAAAATATGATTAATGGTTTGTTTGCTAGCTTATTTTTGCTGTTTAAAAATGATCTACTATGTGTTATAACTCCCCACCCATGATGAATGTAATCACTATGTACTGCAAAAATGTACTGTACTAGTTAAAAAATGTAAAAACTAAAAAATACATCAAAATGACCTAGGGCCGAGAGTGTAGCCCAGTCATAGAGTACTTGTGAAGCATGCAAGCGAGGCCTTTGGTTTAACCTCTAGCACTGCAAAAAGCAAAATAAATAAAAATGAAACTGGGCATGATGTCACACGCCTGTGATCTGGCAGTTAGGAGGAGAATGTGAGCTTGAGGTCAGCCTGGACTACATAGTGAGACCCTACCTCAAAACAGAAAAGCTGGGGGCTGGGGGGTCGTGCTTGCCTGTGGTTCTAGCCTTGAGAGGGTGGGCAGGAGGATCCCTTCAAGTTCAAGACCACATAGTAAGCTACAGGCCAGCCTGAACTATCCAGCGAGACCCCATCTCAAAAAAAAAAAAACAAAAACAAACAAAAAACACATATCCCATTAGCACAGCTGCACACTTAGGAAATGAGGATAAATATTATGGGTTTGTTTATTTGTCTTGGTACCAGGAATCGAACTCCCAGCCTTGTGCTTGCCAATCAACTGCTGTGCTGCTGAGCTATATTCCTGCCCAATTTTATGTTTTGTATCATAGTGCAGAAAAAAACTATCACATGTCCTGAGTTAAAAGGGAATGATACTATTTAAACTCGGAACATTAAACAGTTTATAACTCTGATATACTATGTTAATAAACAGTTACATTGAAAAGCATGGTTTTTTAAGTGAGAGACCATTAAAGTTAACTAGATATCAATTTAATGAGGTTTATACTAATATTTAATATTAAAGCATTTTAAAGATAAGGATAAAAATAACAACAGGAAATAGTACAAAGGACTGAATATTTTAGATGTTCCAGTGCAGAAAAGAAGTATATATAGGTTTGAATGAGTTCAGTAGAGAAAAAATGGATTCATTAAAAAAAGGGCAGCATTAAAACCAAACTACAATGAAAGAAGTAGAGTTAAATGAACTCTAAATCAAATACTGCAGGGTTGATTAATAAAACCCAAATGTGTTTTTGAAAGATTATCAGAGTGTCAAACATCTGTTTAGATTTATAAAAATCTAATCTAGATATACACACACATGCACACAGAATATCTGAAAAATAAGGCAGTTATTTCACACTCCTCCGTGAAGTGTGTGTTTACTGTTAATTCTGTTAATAAAAGTCCTGCTGTTAATGTGGGAAATAAGTGACCTTCCTGTCCCCAGGACCCCCGCTCCCTAGAGAGCAGGTGACTCATGCCAGCACCACAGGCCCTGTGGGGGAGGGCAGGGGCCCAGAAACCCAGGGCCAAGGCCTGCAGCCTTGTCTCAAAGGAGCCCTCAGTGGTTCTCTTGCTCTCCACAGCTCTGATTGAGTCTCTCAACCAGAAGCCACAGTCTGCTGGAGAACAAGCCCATCCCACAGATGGCACCCATGCGACCCACAGGAAAGCAGGAGGGAGTGATGCCCCCTCGGCCAATGGCGAAGCAGGAGGAGGAGGAGGAGGAGGAGGAGGAGAGAGCACCAAAGGCTACACTGCAGAACAGGTGGCGGCTGTGAAAAGGTGGGGCCAGGCCAGAGCCGCATGTTCTGGGGTGATTTGCACGTTTCCCACTGCACAGTGCCCCCTTCTGCCCAGGAAGATGGAGAGGGAGGTCCAGCTCATTTCCCATAAGGCCCTGGGGCACAGTGTTCTAGCAGGGCTCCACTGTCTGCCCACAGGCAGAGGCAGAAACACTGACACTGCTGCCATCCTCTGCCACTGGCCCAGGGACCCCAAGTCTACACAGCTCTGTCAAACAGAGATGGAGCCTGGTCCCGCCTCCAGATCTCCCCAGCCCAACAATGCCCCTTTCAGCCAGAGCCTGCTGGGGCAGAGTGGAGACGGAAGGCTGGAGGCAGGCCCTGTGCAGGGTAGCCTAATACCAGTCCAGAGGCAGGCAGGCCGGGGCTTCTCAGGACTGTACTCTTCCCACCAGCTGGCCTCGGGGACACACTTAGGTCACACTTGCATCTTCTAGCAAGCTTCAGGACCAGGGGTGTGAGCTATAGTTTGCCATAAACCAGGCCAGGCTTAACCAGATGAGCCTGGCATTTGGAGGTGATAGGAAATTCATAGAGGGATTTGGAAGGCTTGGAGAAGGCCAAGAACTAGGACCCAGAAGTAAGAATCGGTGAGGAAGGGCCAGTGTTTCTCACAGCTCTGCTTGGGGTAAATGCACACCTGCCATTTTCAGCCCTTACGTTACCACTCAAGACTGAAGTTGCCAAGAAAGAATACAGTTGGGTGAACACAGGACATCCCTGCCCATGGACAATAGACAATGACAGTCCTTCAGAGGTCGCCTCCCAGGAGGGAGCTGTGGGCAGAGGGATACGGGTGCTGGCCTGGCTAAAGGTAGCAGCTGCCCTCTTAAATCCTACATGCGTCCTGGGGTTTGCACAGGGCCCCATCTGGCCCCCATGCCAGCTGGAGCTCACTGGAGCTCTTCTGTCCCTGACCCGGAGGAGCCGTCAGCAGTTGCTTTTTGGTGGCCCATATTAGGCAGCTCTCTCCTGCGCTTCTTGCCCCCAGGGTCAAGCAGTGTAAGGATTACTATGAGATACTGGGGGTGAGCAGAGGAGCTTCGGATGAGGACCTGAAGAAGGCCTACCGAAAACTGGCCCTCAAATTCCACCCAGACAAGAACCACGCACCCGGCACCACGGAAGCGTTCAAAGGTGAGGGGCCTTGGTGTCCTGGCATCATGGGCTTTTATGTCCTGTCCTTGGGATGCAGGGTGGACACAGCTTCCTCAGGGAGTGAGGCCTGCAGGAAGTGCTCTCAGGCCTAGTTCCACAGGCTCAGGTTTTACTTCCCAAGGTCATAGTGGTCACTTCCAGCCATGGAGAATTAGTCAGAGTTCACATAGTGCTGCTCCTGCCCCCTTTCCTGGTTCCTGGAGCTCTAGGAGGGGCCTGAGGCAAGAGACTTGTCGAAGCTCTTCAGTTAAACAGCACCAGGGGAGGAGCTGCCCACGGTAAGTGTTCACTGTGCCCAGGGGGAGAGTGGCCCCAACTCAAATATCTCTGGTCTGGCAGCCTCCTCCATGCTGGTAGCCTCAACCAGCCCCTCCCTGGGCCACATCTGCACCTCTGGGCCACAATAGGGACACAGCAGCCTCTGGCCTCAGGGCCGTGGGGAAGAGTGTGTCACTTTGCCCCACATCAAGCCACCCTTACTCATTTAGATTTGCACGCAGACACACATGCCAGCCCTGTGCTGCAGGTTTTCATTTCCACCTTGTCTCCTCAGGGGACACTATGGTGACTGGCAGCACCAGGCCTGGGCAGCATGCTGTGTAGGACTAGGACCAAGCAGCCCCCAGTTCCTCGTGTACTGTCTTGGGGCTGCCCCAGAGGAAGGAGGAGAATGCGCGGGGGGCAGGACTGCTGTGGGTGATGGTCCTGTGCCCTCTCGACAGGACCGAGGTGCTGAGTGGCAGTGGGGACTCAGGCTGTGAGGCAGGTGCAGTTACGAGCAAGGGGGTGGCTTGAGGAGCTGGAGACTAGGGAGGACTCAGAGCTGGTGGCCTTGGGGACACAAACTCTGTGCCCAGAAAGTTTTGGAGGGAAGGCCACAAAGTTAGGTAGGAAACAGCAGCTGGGGCCTGGCCCCTAGGGAGGAGGGGACTCACCCTGGCCACACCACCTCCATAGAGTTGACCAGAACCCAGGGATTGGCCCTTCCCATCATTGCTTGCCACCTTCCAGTCCACAACAAAGACCTCATGTGTCTGTTTGGCCCATGTCCTACCATGACTTCAAGTGCTGTTAGCACCAGGCAATGATGTCCCAACCCTGTGGGCATCTCAAGAGAGAGGAATGAGGAAAAGGCTTTGTTGGTTCCCATAGTGTTAGCTAGAAAGCTTGAAGCGAGGCAGATTTGATTCCCAGCCCTGCAGCCTCACAGATGAGTGAGCTTCATAAGTCCCTTGTCTTCCCTGAGCCTTGGTGCTCCCCTAGGTGAAATGGTGTCAAGATTGCTGTTAGGAGAAGTTGACACAACACTGGCAAGGGCTGCCCAGGTGTGGCGGGGGACTGTTGGGAGCCTCGGCTTCGCCCTCCAGCATCTGGGCTCTTCCTGCATGTCCCACCCTACACATGCCCCAAGCACAGCCTGAGCTGAAAGCCAGCACTAACCTCTCAGGCTGACCTTTCTGTCCCCTTCCCAGCTATTGGCACGGCATATGCTGTGCTTAGCAACCCGGAGAAAAGGAAACAGTATGACCAGTTTGGTGATGACAAGGGCCAGGCTGCCCGACATGGCCATGGGCATGGGGACTTCCACCGTGGCTTCGAGGCCGACATCTCCCCTGAAGACCTCTTCAACATGTTCTTTGGCGGTGGCTTTCCTTCTAGTAAGTCCCCCACACTCCCACAGCTGCATCTCCCCTGGGAGTAAGGAGGAACTGGGTGTCAGCCTGTCTTTCCCAGCAGCCCCCGCCCTGACTCTGTCCCTCTAACCCCCAGGTAATGTCCATGTCTACAGCAATGGCCGCATGCGCTACACGTACCAGCAAAGGCAGGACCGCAGGGACAACCAGGGTGACGTGAGTGAAGAAGGGCTGGCAAGAGCAGGGGATGGCCCTGAGCCCACCCCAGAGTGCGGGGCCTGAGGAGGCAATGACGTCCCACACTGTCCCTCCTGGGGCCCCCAGTGTCCCACAGCTCTACCAAGAGCCATCTTCCTCCCACTTGCCATTCTGCTGAGTGACACCAGAGGGAGCCACACTCCACACTGCCTGCCGTTGGGGGGTTTGCTGGCCTCTGCTAGGAACTGAAGCAGAATCTTGGCTTACAGTGAAGCCTAGTGTTTGTGCAGTCCGTTTGTTTGTAAGGCCAAAGTGATGTTCTCCAAGCAGTGGTGTTAAACCTTCTGAGAATGATAAAGAATGCCAACACAGGTTTTTCAGCATTCAAAACAAATGTCTACAGGAACTGTAAACAGCACTTTTAACACTTTTCTTGTTTTGTTTTTGTTGGGTTTTTTATAGTTTTGTTTTGTTGTTTGTTTTTTGAGACAGGATCTCACTCTGCAGTTCAGACTGGCCTTGACCTCACTTTGTAGCCCAGGCTGGTCTTAAACTCACAATGAATCTCCTGAGTGCTAGGACTTCAGGCGTATGCCACCTTGCCCAGCTCACTTTTCTTTTTGGTTTCTGGTATTGGGGAGCAAATCCAAGGGGTACACTACTGTGGTGCTGCCATAGCTCAGCTGTTTGTTTGTTGTTGTTGTTGTTGTTGTTGTTGTTGTTAGACAGGTTCTGGCTAACTTGCCCAGGTGGGACTCAAACTGCAGTCCTCCTTCCTCGTCCTCCCTAAATGCTGGAATTCCAGACCTGTGCTGCCCCACCCAGCGCAAATTGTGTGTGTGTGTGTGTCTGTGTGTCTGTGTGTCTGTGCATGCGTGTGCCGGGATCGAACTCAGCCTTTTGCTTGCTAGGCAGGCACTTGTGCTGCTGAGCTATATCCCTGGTCCTCAAACACATTTTTCAAGCCACAGATCAACAGCCAGCTGGCTGGCTGGCATTAAAATATTGCAAAGCATTTTAAAGGTTGGCAGCAAAGGATCTTTATCCTCTGACAGAATTTCTTTGTTCATTTCTTTAAAACCTTTATTTGGTATTTAACATACAGAGAAGTTTTTAGAATTATAAATTAGCACACAGTTAGTGAATTATTTACTTTTAGACATCATCTCACTATGTAGTTCAGGCTGGCCTCAAACTTGCAGTAGTCCTCCTGCCTCAGCCCCTCCAAGTGCTGGGATGACAGGTGTGTGTGCCATGCCTGACCACACAGTGAATTTATTAATTTTCATTTCTAGTTTAGTTTTTATTTCTATTTTTCCAGTCCTGGGGATTGAACTTACCTTTGAGCTATACCCCCAGTCCTATTTCTAGTTTTTTAGTTGGTAGTATATGTGTATAGTTTGAAACTCAGAAATAGACTTGAAGTAAAAGCCTCCCACATAAGCCCTGTCCCATCCTGGAGGCAGCCACTTCTGTGGATGTGTGATTTTCTCTCACAAGTCAGCGTACACCCTGCTTCCGCCAGCATGTATTTCTCTAGGAAAGCTGGCAGACGGATCAGCTTCTGTACTTGGGGGACATCTGGAAATGAAGGGGGAGTGTGGTGTCCAGGCCACTCAGGGTCCACTGTGCTGAGCAGCTGGTGGTGTGTGTGGCCAGCTGGGTAATGGTGGCTCTTCCTCCAGGGCGGGCTAGGGGTGTTTGTCCAGCTGATGCCCATCCTCATCCTGATCCTCGTGTCAGCTCTCAGCCAGCTCATGGTCTCCAGTCCGCCGTACAGTCTGAGCCCGAGACCGTGAGTACCTGCTCTGAGGGTTGGGTTAGGGAGGTGGGCAGACCAGGGCTTTGAATCTCAACCTCATTAGAGGCCTTCTTTGCTGGCCAGAAATCCCAGGTTCCTGAATGTAATGCAGGAGGCTGGCTTAGAGTGAAGGAAACACGGTCTGAATCAGATGTGCACACTTGTAACCAAACCAGAGGCTCTAAGAGGCTGAGGCAGGAGGATTCCAAGTTTGAGCCAGCTTGGACTATTTAGTGAACTAGTGAGACCCTATCTCAAAATAAAAATTAATAAAAGTATTAGGGCTGTAGCTCAGTGTGAAGGCCTTGATTCTTACCCCAGTATTAGACAGTGGAGGGGAAAGACAGGAGAGGAGTGGAGAGGGGAGGAAAAAGAATGGAAATGCGAGAAGGAAAAGAAATAGGAGCAAGAAGAAACAGGCTCTCAAACCAAGCCTCTTAATCGTTTTAGGATCTTAGCCCCCTAAGAAGAGGCAGTGTGACCTGCAGACCTTTTCCCGAGAGCAAGGCACGTGCTATTTTTTGCCTGTGGTCTGAGGCTCCCTAACTCCCTCCCACTCCTGTATTATTTGCTGACCCTGAAATTAACCTCTGCCCTTATATTCCGGATAAGGGGCCGGGGTGTGGCACAGTGCTTGTGTGAGGCCCTGGGTTTCATCCACAGCTCTGAAAGAAAAAAAAAAAAACAAAAAACGCAGAAGAGAAAAAGAAGAAATATGGTTAAGTCCCTGAGACCTGAAAAGCACAGGGGCTCTAGGTGAGAGCCAGGGGTCTCTGAAGCCCAGCTTCACCAAGAAGCTGTAACTGTAGGCAATAAGACAGGAATCTGCTATATGATAGGAATGATAAGGTCCATGTGCTTGTGAAAATTAATGAGTAATACATCAAAGCGTGTAGCTCGTGAGAAGTGCTCCACAATGTTTGTTGAACAAGTGCGTGGTCTCAGCTGCCAGTTAGAATTTGGATGAGTTAGGTGATCCTCTGTTATCTTCTTCCTTCCTTCCTTCCTTCCTTCCTTCCTGCCAAGACGCTGGCACAGCGTCTTGAGACAGTCACGGTGGGTGCTCAGCTTCCCTTCTCAGAAGGCCCTGCTCCAGCCCCCTGCTGCTGGGAGTGGGTTCCCCCTCCCCTGCAGGCTGCCTCCCAACCAGCAGGGGGCAGAGCTGGCTCACGGACCCAGAGCAGTCCCTGAGTCTCTGGCCCAAAGTCAGCCCTTTACCATGTGGGTGGAGAGATGAGGGGCAGTGTGGCTGACAGGGAACAGACCTTCCTAGAAGAGATGGCCGGGGACAGTTGTTCCTGGAGCAGTGGCTCTGTGTGCATGTGGAGGCTCTCCTAATCCTGCAGAGCCTGCAGTTGAAGCTGGAAGGATTCAGCTCCTTGGGATCTCAGGGAGTTTTGTTCCTTTTATTGTGCTGAGGATCGAACCCAAGGCCTTCCACATGCTATGCACATGCTCTGTTCCTTAGCAATGGCCATGTCCCTGTGGCTCCTAACTACAGATGAGCTGCTCCTGGAGATGCAGGCAGGCTCCCAGTATCTGTGGACCTGGGGGATGGATGGGAAAATGGAGGCACAGGCGACAGAGCCCTCACTTCCTCCAGGTCCCAAACTACCCAGATCAGGTCCTCTTCTCAGACAGGGTTTCTCACAAGCCCTCAGGTGTGGTGGCAGGATGACTGGGCCACAGTGCAGCAGGGACACTGTCTTTCCAACAGACCTTTACCTTAGGCAGTGTAGGAGGAAACCAGCTCCTCCTGTGCCTGTGTGTCACTGGCCCTGTCACCCATCCAGCTGCCCTGGGCCTGGGCCCCCCAGAACACTTTATATACTTTGTATGCTTTCTGGCCAGCTCGGTGGGCCACATCCACAGGCGAGTCACTGACCACCTGAGTGTTATCTACTACGTGGCAGACAGCTTCTCGGAAGAGTACACGGGCTCCAGCCTCAAGACGGTTGAGCGGAATGTGGAAGACGACTACATCGCCAACCTCCGAAACAACTGCTGGAAGGAAAAGCAGCAGAGTGAGTTCCCGTGTGCATGTGCGTGTGCGTGCATGTATGAGAGAAGCATTGCGCGTGCTGGTGTTGGGGAGTGCAGCCAGGGATCAGACTGGAGGAACAGGGAAAAAAGAAAGCCCTAACCCATGCTCTGTGGGCTGTGCCCGCCGAGGCCACCTGGTGATTTCCTTCAGGTTCCCCATAAATTGCTGCCATTGGCCTGCTGGGGATTTTTTGGGGGCCAGTGGGGAGTATGCAGAGAGACAGATCAGCGCTCTCTGGCCACCCACTGCTTGTGCACCTGGATCATCCCTCTCCCAAAGGGGCACTGTAGTCTTTGCTCCTCCTGGGTCTTCCCTCACAGGGGCCACTTTGCCAAGCCCCTGGACCTCTTCCAGCCTCCTCCGCCTGCCTCCTCCCCTCACAGGCCCCAGCAGGCCTCCTGGAAGGCTCTAGGAGGTTAGGCACTGGGTGTGCCTAACCCTGCCCCGTTGCTTTGCAGAGGAAGGCTTACTATACCGGGCCCGCTACTTCGGTGACACAGATATGTACCACAGAGCACAGAAGATGGGCACTCCGAGCTGCAGCCGGCTGTCAGAGGTGCAGGCCTCCCTGCATGGATAGTCCTGGGCCATCCACGTCAGCCAGGTCCAAGTATGAGCCGGGGCCGCCATTGTCCTGCATCTCCTGGCAGCTTTGGCTGTGGTCTTAAGGCAGGGAGGGAGGAAGGAAGCCAGCCTCGCCCCCAATCTCCAGAGGCAGGGCGACTCTGGGTCCAACATGGAAATGGCGATCACAGCCCCGATCTGGTCTCTGCCACTATCCCGCACTGCACTCTTCCCTGGTCCTTAGGCTGTGGGCACCCAAGAGCCGACACATGGGACCCACCGCTGTTGCTGAGTCCCCTCATGGCTCTGTGGGCCAGTCCCACGATCAAGCCACCGCAGCCCTTTCCTGCGCACAGCTGATGATCGCCTGTGGCACCAGACACTGCTGGGCCCAAGACAGACCCCATACACAGGGCCACACACTACCAGGAAGAACTGTGGAGCAGGTGGCCGGGAGGATTCCCTTTCTGAGTCCTTCCAGGGAGGACAACCTGGGACCCATGTCAGGGCAGCTGACAGGGCAGGAGAACCTGTGGCTGCTGCTCCGGAAGTAGGACGCGGTATGCTCCAGAGCTGCTGCACCTGGCAGCCTGGAAGCCACAGGCAACTGGCCTGTGGTCTGAGGAAGGGAACAGAAGGTCACAAGTTCAGGGTCAGATGCAGCCACTCAGCACAGAAGGGGTGGGGGGAAATGAAAGTGGCTGGCAGCAGGCACCCGCCTCCAGTCCTGCGTGTGGGTAGTGGGCTGTGTTCCCAGTGCCCAGAGCAGGCAGCCTGGACCAGGCCCAGAACTGTGTGGGCAGAGCTGGGAGGCTGTTCCCTGCGGCGGCACCCTGCCCTCCTCCCTTGGCCTGTGTCCCCTCGGCTTCCATCCCACCGCGGAGCAGGCGCGTGGGCGCTCACAGCGCAGAGCGGCTGCTTGTTTGTTCGGCTTAGCTGGAGGCAGAGGGCTGAGACCTCCCAGCTAACTGTACCCACTTCCCTCCACAGACTATGAAATCCCTGGAGAATTTCTGGTGACACTCACTGAGCCAAGGTGACGGACTGTATATTTAAGGAAAGACATACAAAGACAAATTAAAATGGAATTGGAGGCCGAACACCGCACAACTGCCCTCTCTCTCACCCAGTAAATGCAGAAAGCTCTTAGGACAGACAGAAAACCTGCCATGGGGCTGCTTCCCTCCCTTCCGGGCTGGTGGAGGTTCTGCATCACCTGCTCCTAGGATACAGAAACCATGGCAACGAAAGTAGAATGTAAAACTTGTGGTGAATGCCTGGGGGAAGGGCCAGGGGAGGAGCCGCCCAGCTGCCACACCTCCCCCCGGGACCCCCACCCGTCTCCTGCAAGAGGAGCCAGGCAGGGGGCTGGTACAGAGTAGGGAGGAGGAAGAATCCACAGAATGTAACTTCAAGATGAGTGCGATGTATATATATCTATTTATATGTAAATAGGCATATATAAAGATATATATATATAGTCTACTTTTTAAACTATGCAGCGATTGGGTTAAATTGTTCAGCTGATTGCTTCTGTGTTACAGAATGAGGCCTGTTTGGAGAAGGCAGCCTGGTCCTTCCAAAGCTAGACATTAGCCATAGCAGACAGCTTAACAAAAGGCAGGTCTTAGGCTTTATGTCCCCTTTCCCCCCAGCGCCACATTGTCTCAGATGGCAGCAGTAATTATGAGGTGTAAATCTATAGTAAACTTCATAGCTTGCCAGGGTTACAGTTTAGCTGCAGAAGAAGCAGGCCATAGTGCAAGAAAGATGGCCCAGGGGCAGGTACCAGCTCAATATGGAGCCATGGTCCTGGGGTGAGGCTACCCTTACCAGCTACTTCCCCTGTGGTCAGTTCTCTGTCCTAGACCCAAGAGCCTTTGAGTCAGCACCTTTCAAGGTTTAGAGAGGGGCCAGGTTCTACCTAATGCTTTCCTACCTAAGTTCCCACATGGGTTTTGCCTTAGAGGCATCACAGGGCACAGCTCCATCAATGCCGCTGGTTTTCATCTCCTTTTTTTGTTTTTGGTACTGGGGATTGAACTCATGACCTCATGCTTGCCAGGCAGGCACTGTGCCACTGAGCCATATTCCTTGCTCGATGCCACTGGTTTTCCTAAGTTGCATACCAATGACTCCAAAAGGTTCTTCCTCCCAGAATCAGCCCAGGACCTGCAGGGCAGCAGCTTGACCAGTGAAGGAAAGTCCATGCCTGAGGTGCCTGCGTCATTACCCACAGTAGATGTCACCACCAAACCTTCTCGCATGGTGGACGAAGGATGTATCTGAACCAGGACAGTTTTTTACCCTCCCCTTCAAATGAGGATTTTTCTCAAAGCAGCAGTTGCTACCAGGGGTAGGGAGAAGTTTTATTTATTCCCCCATTTATACTGGGCCTTTTGAGGTTTTTTGGTTTTTTTGTACCGGGAATTGAACTCAGGGCCTTGTGCCTACCAGACAGGCACTGAGCTACATCCCGGGCCTTTTGGATTGCCATTTTTCCAGAGTTTCTTCCATGGCGGTGGGTGTGGTATGGAGCCTGCTGTTTCCAAAGCCTTATTCCCCAAGCTGCCAGCCACTGGCTGGTAACAGTCCTCCCAGCGTTTCTCTTGGCTCTTTTTTAAAAAGCTCCTCCCCCTCCCTATAGGAATCTTGCTGGGAAAAGAAATTTGGTGAGGAAACGCTGACCCTGGTTTTTAAACAAGGTCACACCCTGCAATGAAGTGGCCACCCTGGCCCAAGAGAGCCTACAAACGACATAGACCAAAGCACCACACCCGCAGGGGCCCTGGCACTCTACCGTGGCACCCTGACTGCCTAGTCCCTAGATGGGCTGAGCTGTGTGCAGTAAGAACGGGGTCCCCTAAGAAGCTGTATTTCTTGAATTTGACTTCTGAAATTGTACATCTATAAATATATGTTTATTATGTGATTGGCCTTGGTGGGTCCAGTTGAGCAGGGGTTGGGGACAAGCTGCTGTCACTGTCTGGCATGTGCCACAGTTCAAGCTGACAGCCACTGCAGCCAACAGTGCTTCACCATCCTGGCAAGAGAGAACGGGGTCAGGTGGCTCCTAAGTGGAGTGTGGGTCCCTAACATCAGGCCTGCGTGGGTGACGTACTCCAAGCTCCACCCTCTGCTGTCCCCAGTCCCCTCCTGGTTGCCATCCTGAGTAAAGCACCCCTTTTATCCTCCTTCCCTTCCACTCCTGATCCAGGCCATGGGAAAAGCCGAGTTTTCTGTCTGTCACTAGCCGTGTAGTCTTCCCAGCCACCTTCCCTCGCGGCCAGCATTCAGCCTTACTACCCTGGAGGTCAGCAAAGTCACACCCGAATCTGTCCAGTCCCCATTGGGCTCCCTCCCCCGCCACAGCGGCAGATCTGCCCGGCTCACCCGGAGACAGGGCTTGCAGCCCTGACTGGCAGGCCCAGGCCCCTCCCACTGCCGCAGCAGCCAAACACGGGCGGGCTCCCCGGTGGTGCCACCGCAGCCCGGGAGCTCATTGGCTGTTCCCAGCCGGGGTCATTGCAGCCTTGCCTGGTCTGCGTGTTACCACTTGTTAACCGCAGCTGGCAATGAGGCCTTGCCAGGTGCCCTCCCACAGGCGCATACCCCATCCCCTGCCCTCACTGGGATCAAGGGTTCCCTGGAGAGCCAGAAAGGGTGGGACCTGTTCCCTCTGCTGCAAAAAAGAGGCTTTGACAAGTATGTCCCACCCACTGTCAGGTGGCAAAGCAAGCCACAGTTGGTCTCAGCTCCAAGGCCCTGTCAGTTTCTGTCCTTGTTCTGTGTACACCGCAGTGTCCATTCAAGGAGCTCCGCCCAGGGCTGGGGAGTGCACACCTGGCCCCACTGGCTCAGCAGTCACCTGGCTGACTAGGGCAGGTGCAAACGGTGACTGATGACACCAAGCCAGTTGTGTAGAGACTCTTCGCACCATGTGACGCCAGTAACCCATTTCCCAGAGTGGAAAACAGGCTTGGGGAACCAAAGGTGATCCCAAGGGTCTCCACTTTGGGGGTCTCACAAACAATCCTTTTGTTATTTATTTGCTTTTTGAGACAAGGCGTTGCTGCGCAGTTCAGGCTGACCTTGAACTCAATATGTAGCCAAAACTGGCCTTGAATTCACAGCAACCCTTCTGCCTCAGCCACCCCATTGTTGGGATTATAGATTTGCCACTATGCCTGCCACAACCGTTCATTCTGCAGATGTTTCCTGTGCTTGGATATACTGTGCTGAAGGTGATCAGGCTCTCTCTTCCAGGTAGAGGGGAACTGAGTCTAGGAGGGTTGATGAGGTTGAAATAGCCACCCTGAGGCCAATGGACTTCGTCTGGGGGTGAGCTGCATTCAAGCAGCATCTCCTGGCAGGCAATGACAGTGTCATTGCTGTCACTGTCATTCCCAAGAGGCAGCACAACAGATTAGCCCTTGGCTTCATCATTGGTATCAGCCTAGGCTTCATCCTGTTGGCCATGTAGTGGCTAGGTGACCTAGAGCATGTCATCTAAACTCCCTCTGCCTCAGTTTCCTCATCTGCACATGAAAGCAACACCAGCACTGCCTCCAGGCTGTGGAGCCTGGAAGTTACCAAGCAGGTATAGTTATTGAGCACTTAGCCAGTCTGGCATGAAGTAGCCGCTTTGAAGAGTTATCTGTCCTGCCAACAAGCAGAAACTGACACTGGGTGTCAGGTCGCAGTCCAGACAGTGAACCCCAGAAGTGTGGGGACCAGCGCAGAAGTCTTTGGGAAGCCTGCAGGTGCAGGGCAAGGGCTCAGGCCGGGCTCTGGCCAGGGCAGTGGCATTAGGGGGAATGCAGGTCAGAGTGGAGGCCTGGCAGGGAGAGCCTGAACTCCAGCTCAGCAGAGAGCAGCACTCCGGCCAGGTCCCACCCCGCCGCTGTCACTACTACAGGTCTGCCGTACACAATGACTACAATGGCCAGGGAGTTGGCAAGTGGACAGGGCACATCGTAATTCTTTCTACGTCCCCTTCCCCTCCCCTCTCCCCCTTTTCTCCATCTCTTGGTCCCCTTCCCATTTGCAGAAGATCTAATTCCTGTATCTATTTTAGGTCCCCAATCTGCAGTTGTCACCAAGCTTGTCAATCAAGTGGCCTTGGGCAAAGAAAGCTTCACTGTGAATGGGTGAAAGACCCCCTCCAATCCCATGTGTAACCTGGCCACTCGGTCATCCTCGGGAAGCATCTCTAGGGCATCCCTGTGTGCTTGCTGCCATCAGGGAGGTCATTTCCCAATGAGGAGGAGAGGGAGGGGGGCAAACCAGGCTGTCACCACCCAGCACCTCCGTCGGGCTTCGGCTCTGCAGCCCTCAGCCTGCAAACAGACCTTTGAGGGCTAAGATCCTGGCTGCTAAACTCAGACACACCCTGCTGGGGAGAAAAGTGGCCCCCACCGTCCAGTTAGCCTGCATCGTGGGACAAGCACTGAGTGGGGCATATTTATTTTTCCTCTACCTCCTGGGGGAAGCAGAATTCTACTGAAATACCCCTCTCCCACGTGCCAATATGACAATCACAAATAGTGGCTGTGAGCCAGGTGTAGTGGTTCATGCTCTAATTCCAGCACTCAGGAGGCTGAGGCAGGAGGATGGCCAGGAGTTCAAAGCCAGCCTGGGCTACATACTGAATTCAAGGCCAGCCTAAACTACAAAATCAGACCTGGGGTTGCTGGCCTGACCAGGCCAACCTGGGAATAGAGGTTGTCCTGGGCCCAGCCTGGCCTCTGGACCCCACACCCAGGGCTCTACTTCCAGGACTTGTCTCAAAAAACACACAAGACAACAACAACGAAAACCTGCAAAAATTAGTGGCCCCTCCCGCTCCAGTCACTAAGGTCTCACCAGAAGGAGTAGAAGACAGGCTCCAGGCCCCAGCCTGGTGCCAGGTGTCACTATCCATTTCTGGAATTACACATAGTTCTGTCCCCAGCTGCATGGTGCTGCCCTGGCCACCAGCCTGGGGGGCTCCTCCAGCAGCCTTTGCATTGCCCTGTGTGCTGAGCATGGCACCCCACACCCTAAACCATCAAGTCCACCACTGCCACTACAGGTGCTGCACACATATCAATCATGTCTGGGTGTCCGGGCTGCAACTCAGGGGCGACTGCCATGGGTGCTCAGTGCCTCCCCCTGGTCCTCTATGGACCTGTCTCTCTCTAGTCTCTTTCTTGGCACCAAAGTTCGAGCACTAAGTCTGCACAGAGAGCAGGGTTTCACCCTCACTTTCTGTTTGTATTAATTGTAAATTTTTACTATAATTATCATCCCACAGGTCTCCCAGGTCAGTCACTACCACTGCCTGCTCTTGTCAATTGAGTTTATAGGCACCAAGGTGGCCACATACTGGGCTGCTGCCTGACCAGGCCAACCTGAGCTGAAGGTCTTCCTGGGCCCTGCTTAGCCCCAGACCACACACTCAGGGCTCTGTTTCCAGGACTAAGCTCAGGCTACAGCACTCACCACCCACCAGGGTCCACAACCTAGACCGGTGGATGGGCGCGGATCCGGTTGCATGCCCTACAATCTGCCGGTATTATTAGCTCTGGAGCGGAGGCCTTGGATAGAACACAATTCAAGGAGCTGTTGACTTGGCTGTGTTTCCAGCCCAGCAGCTGTGAGGGCCACACAGGGCACACACAGGGGCGCTGGCTCCTCCTAGCCCCCAAGCATGTTGTTGTGAGAGGTGAGAAGATCGCAGTTCCTCCCAGGGCACTGCTGATGTCAATGCAGAAGCCCCACCTCCCACGGCCTCTGAGTGACCCTGGGCAGCTGCCGGCCACTGGCTCCTCCCATATCTGTTTGTGAGGCGCTAGCTCCCAAGACCAGGTCTTCTCCCTCCTTTTGCCTGTTCTTGTCCTCCCCAGGCCCTGCCACCCCTGGCCTACCCCAGGCTGACGGGAGCCGGGACAGGGGGTTACCCTGCCCTAACTCCCTCTGCACCGTCCAGCCCTGCCCTGGTGGGGGCACCTGAAGCTGCCAGCATCCCAGGGGGAGCCAGGTAAAACTTGTTGCCTCAGATATGACCAATTCTATACCCATGGGGGTGAATAAAAAACTAGGCTCTGAGCCCCTTCCTCCTCTGCCTGTGTCTCCCCCTCTCCTCCACTTCCTCTTTCTCTCCTTGGCCTGCAGGCTATTGGGGATGTGGGGTACCCTGTGTGGAAATCCTTGCCAGCCTTGTGGTGCCCCACAAGGTGAGCTGTTGCATAGAGGGCTTTGGTCATGACACTTCCTGAAAAGGGACAAGAGGTGATGGCCCCACAAAACTCTGTAATGAGGACTGGGATTGAGTTCAGCATGAGACGGCCAGCAGTAAGAAAACCGGAAACTTTCACCACTGATCAGATGGGCTCAGAAGGCCTGGGTTTGGGGGCCATAACTGGGCCGTCCTCAAGGCACAAAGTGACAGATGACAGGGGTTGGGGCATGGTGGGGAGAGCTTCCCAGACTGCCCTGAGAGTGCCTGGGCCCGAGGCCTAGGAGTGAGGTAGGAGTTTTGTTTAGTTCGATGAGAACTTCGAGAGAGGAAGAGGCTGCACTATTAAGAAAGCATTTCAAAACCAGAGACCTAATCTAACACCACAATTCTACCAACGAGGAACCAGCGGCCCAGAATGGAGAAGTGATTTGCTACCTGGCTCTGCTGTGTCAGGCTTCTGCCTGGGCCTCGGCGCCCTGGGCTGCGGAGACAGAGTGTCTGCCCATGGATGAAGGCAGAGGCACAGCACGGATGGCCACATTCCCCACCTGAATCTGAGCCACAGCTTTGAGGAACACAGAGGGCAGGTGTCAGGGTCAAGAGCCATGGCGTCTCACAGAGCGCAACCAGATGCGGGTCTGGGATGGCCAGGAGGGCAGAGATGGCCTCTAGTCAATCCCCTGACCAATCAAGCAGGCTGCAGGTGGCCA